AGAAAAGAAAAAAGAAAAAAAGAAAAACCACAGACTTGCTAAACTCCCTAACCATCGGAGCTGTATCAGGCAAATTTACAACCCAGACCACTGCAACTCTGGACAGGGACTGGCCTTATAAACATTCTTTCCCTGCAAGGAAATGCAGACCTTAGGCCAGTTTCAGCAGCTTACAGAGGCTACGCACAAGTTGCCTTTGTGTCTTGTAGGTCACCTTTTGACATAACGAGCCAAATTCTACCTCATTTTAATGCTAAAGCCTAGCCCGAAGTGAACATGAGATGTGTTATATACATGTTTATCCATTGCTCATGTGCTTGGCTCCCCTCATAGATATGTATAGCTTTCTCCCAAACCTGCTGAATATGCATGGCTGTTGTGTAATACAGACCTTGTGTGGAATAAGACCCAACCTGCCCTTTCTCTCTTCAAAGCTGAGTGCGGTGGCTTACGCCTGTAATCCCAGCACTTTGGGAGGCCGAGGTAACCAAATTGCTTGAGCCCAGGAGTTTGAGACCGGCCTGGGCAACATGGTGAAACCTTGTCTTTACAAAGAAACTACAGAAGTTAGCCTGGTGTGGTGGGGGCGTGCCTGTAGCTCACTGCAGCCTCGAAATCCTGGACTCAAGTGATCCTCCTGCCTCAGCCTCCTGAGTAGCTAGGACTAAGGTGTCTGCCACCACACTTGGCTAATTTTTTTTTTCTTTTTGTATAGACATGGGTCTTTGTATATTTCCCAGGCTGGTCTTGAACTCCTGTCCTCAAGTGATCCTCCTGCCTTGGCCTCCCAAAGTGCTGGGATTACAGGTATAAGCCAGCACGACCAGCCTCACCCCATTTTAGACAACCAGTAAGTTTTATTTTTAAATTTTATTTTTGGAGACAGAGTCTTGCTCTGTTGCCTAGGCTGGAGTGTAGTGGCATGATCATAGCTCACTATAGACTCCAGCTCTTGGGCTCAAGCAGTCCTCCTGCCTCAGCCTCCCAAGTAGCTGAGACTACAGGCAAGTGCCACCACACCCAGCTAATTTTTTTTTTTTCTTATTTTTATAGAGACGAGGTCTCATTAGTTTCCCAGGTTTTTCTCGAACTCCTGGGTTTAAGTGATTCGCCTACCTTGGCTTCCCAAATTGCTGGGATTATAGGTGTGAGCCTCCATGTCCAGCTGTCATGCATTTTAATAGCCAGTTCCACTTGTCTAGGAGAATGTCTCTGCCCATTGCTGGACATTTTAGCCTGTACAGTGTGCTCCTTCGTCTGAATAAATGACAGTTGGCTGCCTAAATCCATGTACTATTTTTGGTCCCGTTTTTTAATGGCATCATGAATAGTTGCATCTTCCACTGGTTAAGCGAAGCCAGTGCAGAGTCAGGGTCTATTATTGTCAAGACCCATTTGTGGTCCCCCAGGGCTACCAGCATCGGTCTCACTTGCCAGTTACGTTCAGAGTCTTCCCACCAAGGAACCGTTTCCATAGCCCTCAGCCGTCTCTGTCTCTTGCTGACAAACAGAACAGTCTCACTGGCGTTTTGAACCTCAGAGGGTATAAGAGAAACATGTCTAGATTCAGCCCATCTCTGCACTGCTGCAGTGCCCCTGTCTCATAGACCCAGGTGGCCCCCACAGGGATCACATGGGGATATCTGCTTGTCAATTCCAATCACCTTCCAAACCCGGAAGGAGTTTCTTCTGATGGGCAGCCCATGTCTTACTTTAATGCACTCTCACATTTCCACAGGGCTGTGGCCTATAAGGCATCTCTTTCTCTCTCTCTTTTTTTTTTTTTTTCGAGATGGAGTCTCACTCTGTCGCCGAGGCTGGAGTGTAGTAGTGTGATCTCAGCTCATTGCAACCTCTGCTTTCCTGGGTTCAAGTGATTCTCCTGCCTCAGCCTTCAGAGTAGATGGGACTACGCACCCGCCACCACGCCTGGCTAATTTTCGTATTTTCAGTAGAGACAGAGTTTCACCATATTGGCCAGGCTGGTCTTGAACTCCTGACCTTGTGATCCACCCACCTTGGCCTCCCAAAGTGCTGGGATTTTAGGTGTGAGCCACTGTGCCTGGCCCAGAGAACTTGATGAGGCTTCTTGAACTCCCTTTTGATTTTGCAGCAGCAAGGTTATACGGGCATCCGCATCACAGGGGTGCCCTTATCCACAGCATTTACTATGACCTTGGCAATGAGCACATTCAGCTGGTGAGTATCCCGATCCTCATAAAGCCAGGCCCACATGACTTGCGTATGAAACACATCGGCTGCTTCTTCTGACTTGCTCTACTAGGTATTTACAGGAGGTGACAGAGTCCCCCTTCTCAGGGAGAACAGACCTTACTGTCACTTTTTTGTGACAGGGTCTCACTCTGTCACTCAAGCTGGATGCGTGATCTTGGCTTACTGCAACTTCTGCCTCCTAGGCTCAAGCGATCCTTGCACCTCAGCCTCCTGAAAATCTTGGACTTCAGCTGTGCATCACCATGACTGGCTAATTTTTTTTTCTTTTGGAAGGGTGGAGTCTGGTCACGTTGCCCAGGCTGGTCTTGAACTCCTGGACTCAAGTGATCCACCCACCTCTGCTTCCCAAAGTGCTGGGATCACAGGCATGAGCCACAATATTCGGCCTGCAGTGGCTTTTATCCAGTCCAGGCCGGTTGTTCCCCGGGGAATCACCTCCTGTGTGCCTGCCTCCCATATAACTATTTGTGATTATTCCGTAGTGAGCTGTGGGTCAGTCCAAACCTGCTCTTTCACTGCAGTATTTTTAAACCAAAGACACAGGCCAGGCACAGTGGCTTACACCTGTAATCCCAGTACTTTAGGAGGCTGAGGTAGGCGGATCACTTGAGGCCAGGAGTTGGAGACCAGCCTGGCCAACATGGCAAAACTCTGTCTCTACTGAAAATACAAAAATTAGCTGGGCATGGTGGGGGGCGCCTGTAATCTCAGTTACTCGGGAGGCTGAGGCATGAGAATTGTTTGACTCCAGAAGGTGGAGGTTGCAGTGAGCCGAGATAGTGCCACTGTACTTAAGGATTCTAAGGATTTTAGGAGTTGTATGCCAGGAAATGGGGTCCGAGACCAAATATAATTTTACAATATCACAAGTGGTTTCCAATGTTTGCCTATTAAGAGTGAAGCTGCTATAAACATTAGTGTAGAGGTTTTTGTGTGAATATAAATTTTTATTTCTCTGGGATGAATACTCAAGAATGCAATTGCTTGGTCATGCAGTAGTTGCATGGTTCAGATTTTGTGTGTGTGTGCGCGTGAATTTGTTTTTATTGGGGAATGGGACACAGTGTGGGAAGTGTTACCCTGGACTATGGTATGCCCCGCCTCCCAGAGAATGTCCATTTGCATTCTAATCTTCCCGGCCTTTCTCTTGGAGCTGTTCTTGCTGCCGGCAGCCTCTTTGGGTCCACTGATCATTGGCTCCTCTTTGGAGAATTTCCTCTTTTTCTTGGAGACACTTTTGTGGCCTGCCTCTTAAGGGTCATTAATTGTTTCCTCCTTGGGTGAAGATTTCTTCCTCTTGAGAAGACTGGTGCTGCCAGGGGTCTCATCAAGATCACTATTCATCATTTCCTCCTTGAAAATGATTTATTTTTCTTGGGTTTGGAGAAAGAGACAGATGGGTCTTCCATTCCATTCTCCGGAGGAACCTCCTGGGGCTTTTGCTTTTTTTCTTTTTGGGGCTTTCATTCTCCTTACACTCCTCTGGAGTACTGTTGCTGTTTTCTGAAGATGCGAGGGCAAGCACGGCCAGCTGTTTCTTTTCCTTGTTTTTTTTTTTTGGAGACGGAGTCTTGCGTCTTGCTCTGTCTCCCAGGCTGGAGTGCAGTGGCACAATCCTCGGCTTGCTGCAACCTCTGCCTTCTTGGTTCAAGCAATTTTCCCACCTCAGCCTCCTGAGTAGCTGGGATTACAGGCACATGCCACCACTCCTGGCTAATTTTTTGTATTTTAGTAGAGATGGGGTTTCACGTGTTGAAGTTCCAGGTCAGGCTGGTCTGGAACTCCTGACCTCGTGATCCGTCCACCTTGACCTCCCAAAGTGCTGAGATTACAGATGTGAGCCACCGCGCCTGGCCTTTTTTCCTTCCTTAAGTGTTTCTTCTCCTGTTTCTCCAGCTCCCTGGTAATCTCAGCAGCTGCTTCCTCTGCCTGAACCATTGCTTCCTCCATGACATCCAGAGTCTTTCGTGGAATCTCTCCAGTCTCATAGGGCAGACGCTCTTCAACTTGTTCTCGAAGCTTCTCCCCAAATACACCTCAGAGAAGCAATCGATTCATAAGGCGATACTGCATCTGTTTGCCAGGTATCGGGAGATGTGGCCTTTGTTTTTGGCAGGTTTGCGGCCAATGAAGGTGGAGTGGAAACTGAGTTCATATTTTGGTGTGGTACCCCTTGTCTTCAGAGCTCTGGAGACTTTGTCCCTTTGCTGGGCCCTGGGAATCACTCAGACACCTCGACTGTCCATCACCTCCACAGCAGAGGCCTAGTATAGGTCAGGGAGGCATGCTCAGTTTTGTTTTTTTTGTTTTTCTTTTTGAGACCAAGTCTTGCTCTGTTGCCCAGGCTGGAGTGCAGTGGCGTGATCCCGGCTCACTGTAAACTCTGCCACCCGGGTTCAAGCAGTTCTCCTGCCTCAGCCTCCCAAGTATCTGGATTATTGTTGCACACCACCATGTCCAGCTAATTTTTGTATTTTTAGTAGAGATGGGGTTTCACCATGTTGACCAGGCTGGTCTTGAATTCCTGACTTCAGGTGATCCACCTGCCTCGGCCTCCCAAAGTGCTGGGATTACAGGTGTGAGCCACCGTGCCCAGCAGCATGTTTAGCTTTTTTAAGAAACAGCCAAAGAGTTTAAGAAACAGCCAAAAAGTGGCTGGACCATTTTCTTGTTTTTTTTCTTTTTGAGACAGAGTCTCAAAAAGGCTGGAGTGCAGTGGCGTGATCTTGGCTCACTGCAACCTCCGCCTCCCGGGATCAAGCCATTCTTCTGTCTCAGCCCCCCGAGTAGCTGGTACTACAGGCACCCGCCACTATGCCCAGCTAATTTTTGTATTTTAAGTAGAGACGGGGTTTCACCATGTTGGCCAGGCTGGTCTCGAACTCCTGACCTTGTGATCTGCCCACCTCAGCCTCCCAAAGTGCTGGGATTACAGGTGTGAGTCACCGTGCCCAGCCTGTACCATTTTCTATTTTATTTTATTTTTTTTGTTTTTTTGTTTTTTTGAGATGGAGTCTTGCTCTGTTGCCCAGGCTGTAGTGCAGTGGCACCATCTCAGCTCACTGCAACGTCTACCTTCCAGGTTCAAGCAATTCTCCTGCTTCAGCCTCCCGAGTAGCTGAGATTACAGGCGTGCGCCACCATGCCCAGCTAATTTTTTGTATTTTTAATAGAGATGGGATTTTGCCATGTTGGCCAGGCTGGTCTTGAACCCCTGACCTCAAGTGATCCACCTGCCTCAGCCTCCCAAAATGCTGCGATTACAGGTGTGAGCCACTGCACCTGGCCATGTGCCACTTTATATTCTCTCTTTTTATTTTATTAATTTTTTCTTTTTTCTTTAAACCAAGATGGGATCTTGCTATGTTGTCCAGGCTGGAGGGCAGTGGCTATTCACAGGCGTGATCCCACTACTAATCAGCATAGGAGTTTTCATCTGGATCATTTCCCACCTTGGCTGGTTCACCACGCCTTAGGCAGTTTGGTGGTTCCCCATTCATGAGAGGTCAACATATTGATGCAGACACCTGATTGACATAGCCCACAGCAGACCAGAACTCTTGGCCTCAAGTGGTCCTCCTGCCTCAGCCTCTCCTCTAGCTGGGACTACAGGCATGTGTCACCATGCTCAGCCATTTTACAGTCTCTTTCTCTCTCTCTCTCTCTCTCTCTTTTGAGACGGAGTCTCACTCTGTCACCAGGCTGGAGTGCAGTGGCAAGATCTCGGCTCACTGCAGCCTCCACCTCCTGGGTTCAAGCGATTCTCCTGCATCAGCCTCCTAAGTAGCTGGGATTACAGGCGCAATGCACCACGCCCAGCTAATTTTTGTATTTTTAGTAGAGATGGTTGGAGTTTCACCACATTGGCCAGGATGGTCTCGATCTCTTGACCTTGTGATCTTCCCACCTCAGCCTCCCAAAGTGCTGGGATCACAGGTTTGAGCCACTGTGCCTGGCCCATTTTACATTCTCACCAGCAACGTGTGTTCAAATCCTTGGCAACGTTTGGTATTGTCACTATTTTCTATGTTAGTCTTTCTGATAGGTGTGAGGTGATATCTTACTATGGTTCTAGTTTGCATTTCCTTTATGGCTAGTGATATTGACATCTTTTCATGTGCTTGTTTGCTGTCCATACATCCTTTTCACTAAAATGTCTCTTCATGTTTTTGCTCATTTTCTAATTGGATTTTTTTTTTTCTGTTGAGTTTTGAGGGTTTGTTGTTGTGGTTGTTTGTATTTGGGATGGGAGTCTTGCTCTGTTGCCCAGGCTGGAGTGCAGTGGCACAATCTCAGCTCACTGCAACCTTAGCCTCCCAGGTTCAAGTGATTCTCCTGCCTCAGCCTCCTTAGAAGCTGGGATTACAGGCATGTATCACCACAGCCAGCTAAGTTTTGTATTTTTAGAGGATACAGGGTTTTGCCATGTTAGCCAGGCTGGTCTCAAACTCCTGGGCTCAAGTGATCCACCCGCTTCAGCCTCCTAAAGTGCTGGGATTACAGGAGTGAGCCACTGCTCCTAATCTGTTTTGAGTGTTCTTTATATATCCTAGATACTAGTCCTTTGTTAGATAGAGGGTTTGCAAATATTTTCTCCCAGTCTGTACTTTGTCTTTTTCATACTCTTTACATGGTCTTTTGCAGAGCTAGATCCTTCTTTCTTGCTTGCTTGCCTTCCTTCCTTCCTTCCTTTTTTCCTTCCTTCTTTCCTTTCTTTCTTTGATGGAGTCTTGCTCTGTTGCTAAGTCTAGAGTGCAGTGGGGGATCTCCACTCACTGCAACCTCCATCTCCAGGGTTCAAGTAATTCTCCTGCCT